TATGCCTAGTAACCTCCTTGGTTTACCAAATGTAACAAATAGACAAATGCACAGCTACTGAAGATACCCCATTGTGTCTATGTTTGTTGGTATGAGAGTCAGACTCCAACATACCCAAGATGGTCTCTGCCTACCAGGACTGTGGGTACTAGCCTGTAAGAGTGACTTTCTCATGGGTTAACACCTCTCATGTACCAGGCTCTGTGCCTAGCAATCTTCCTCAAACTTCAAAGTAACTGATCCCATGAGACAGTGAACCCAGAGAAGTTAGAGGGGAAGAATTTGGATTTGTCTCTAGGCTTGACTCCAAAGCCTGCCCTCGTCACCTTCCCAGGCTGATGCTGTAGCATACACTGGCCTAGTGCCCCTGAGCCGGCGTCTCCTGCTGGGGAACTGTAAAGTGATGATGATGATGATGATGATGATGACGATGATGGGCACCAGCACGAGTCCACCTGCTCCTGCTAGGGTTACCTAGAGGTTGCCTTCTCTGACTCCAGTGCAGCTTTCCTCCCCTCTGGTTCTCCTCCCTTCCAGGGCCTCACAATGTGCCGAGCAGCCTTTGCTTGGGCCCCACAAACTCTGGCCTCTTGGGAGGTGTAGGAGGCCGAGAAGAGGTTTGCCGGACAGAGGAGAGGTCTGGGAAGAGGGCGGCAATGACATTCTACCAAGGAGGGGTGGAGGGTGTGTTTGCCTGGAGTTGGCAGCGTTCCTGAGCTGGCTTCAGAGGCGCTTTCACCAGAGGCAGTGGTGAGTCACCAGCTTCTCCCACACCCAGCTCCCTAGTAAGTGCTGCTCTGCTTGCTGAATGAATGTTCGGATTCACGAGTAAAGTTCTTAAGGACTAGTTGCAGTAGGAAGAAGCCAGAGACCTGGGGGTTGCTGGGGACGCGGAGAGACTATCCTCAGCCAGGGTCTCTTACCAAATGAGTGCACCAGGGACTGGACAGTAAAGAAAAGCCTCCCTCTCTTGGTCATCCGGCCAGGCTGGTCCTGCTACAGTAGCATCACAGCCTAGGTGTACACACCCCCTAGGGCGCAGAGATCAGAGCCGCCTTTGCTGGACAGCTCTACCTGGGCGGGATCGCCTCACCAACATGCCCACCGAGGGACACTTTCCTCGAGGTCCTTCTCCCCAAGTTTCATACCCTCAGGAGCCCAGACAGAAACTAAGGAGCAACCACGCATGAGCGGATTCGACTGAGGGGAACGTTCCACAAACGCGCGGCCTGAGGATGAGTGGACAGTGGACAAGCACAGGGAGATCAGGGCCGCCGCACCCACTGAGATCGTATCGCCGAAGGACCCACAGTGGATCAGGAGAAGAAGTGGCCTGGATGATAGTGTGGTCAGGGGACCAGAAGGTACTCACGTTCGCAGCCATGGTGGGCCCGGCTCGCCTCCGCGTTTTAGCACTGCTCTGGTAGGAATTAGGCTGACGGCCGGAATGCAGAATGCGGTGACCTCCTGTCTGCTACTGAACTGCAAGACTCCGCGTGGAATCCAGGACCTGGCAGGACTCAGGTCAAGAGTTACCGCCCCGCGGGTAGTTGTCTGTGCCCGCAAGTTGTCTGCGCATGCGCATCTCGAGGCCTGCTGGGAAATGTAGTCCGCTATCGGACACTTTCCGCCACAAAATTTCAGCACACCCAGCACTTCACTGGTGCGCGTGCGCCCTCCAAGATTTCTGGGAAATGTGGTACCGCTTCGTTGGCGGGGCGCACGGGCCGCTGGGCGATGTAGTTTCCGGCTGAGAAGCGACGCTGGTGCTGAGGAGGCTCCGAGGCAGGCGCGCGGCGGGCAGGCCTGGAGGGGGCGGGTCCGCGCGGGCCTAAGTGCCGCCCGCCAAGCCTGAGCAGAGGAGAAGGGAGGTCAGTGCGAGAAGGTGTATCTGCTGCGACCGTGCCGGGTTCCTCCCAGAGCTGAGAGCGTCGGATACGACCATGTCCTACTGCCGGCAGGAAGGTGGGTCGGGTGCTGCCATGGAGACCGGTCGGGCACCGGCCTGCGAGAGACACGCGGTCGGGGGGTTTCCACAGGGCGGCGTGGGCCCTTCGTGGGTTTCACGCGGCGGTTTCCAGATAAGAAAGTAGAGGCTCCGAGAGGAACGAGGCTGGTCCAAGGTCACCGTGACACTCAAACCCGGGCCTCGGAGGCCTCACGTGGGCCCTGAGAGTGCGGAGCATGTTGTACCTGGCTGGAAATTGGGGACTGTTAGGAATTAGTCACCGTCGTCCCTAGTACGCCCCACGTGTTTGTATCCCGCATAGGCTTTTTAACTGTCCCGGGAAATTACCACTCGGGCTGGAATAGGCTGTGCCGCGTGGTGAAGTGCCCCTGGCGGGAGTGTTTATTGAGCTCCTCCTGTATACCAGGCACTCTTTAAACTTCACGTAGCGACCTTTGTTCTGTTACTGTTCGTGTTTTATCAAACTGTAAGCTAAGACGGGTTACCCGGCCCTAGAGCCCATCGGGACTTGAAGCTGCAGTGCCAGTGGGAAGCCCTCTGTTAAAGGCCTTCCTTTCTACCGTCTCCAGCCACGCTGAGGACCCCTCACTGGTTACCTGTGGGCAGCAGCGTGGAAGACTCCAGACGCAGCCTCCCGGCACGAAGGGCCCCTTGTGTCTGAGCTGCTAGTAACCCCTCCAGGCCCTAGTTTCCAGTCTTGTAAATTGAGAGGTTGGCTGCTATTCACTCTAGTTTCCACACAGCACGTGGGAGGACTCGTGGGAATGCAGAGCTACAGAGAGACTTGGGGCACCCAGAATTGTAGAGTGAGTAGGATCAGCTTCTTCACTGCAGTCTAGGGAATCTGAGGAATAAAGGAGGAACTAATCCACCCAAGGCTATGCATCCAGTTAGAAAGCCCAGTCTACACCACACAGCTTTTTCCTACAACCCTAGAGACCCCTCCTCCCAGAATCATAATTGACTAACATCTCTCCTCAGATCTGTGTCTGTTGGTTAGCACTTGGTGTCCTTATACAAAAGTCTCCGTCTTCGAGCACTATTAAGCAGGAAATTCTTGTCATGATTTTTGTCTCCTCCAAGTCTAGTGCGGCTCACCACTTGGCAAGTTGATGTTGACTCTTTGGGGTGTTATGATAAAGCTTGTGGGGAGCCTTGGCGGATTCCATGGCAGGTGAGGGAGACTGAGGCAGAGGGACAAACACGCCAGGCAGGCAGAGCTTAGTGAGACCAGAGTACTGCCCGAGTGCAGGTGACCGGCAGGCTAGCATAACGTCTGAATCCTTACGGTACTACCTCTTGAAGGGTTTACAGGCCTCAGCTTCTCCAGGAAAGAAGTTGGGTCCATTTGCTGCTATTGCAGCATTGAACTTGTCTTCTTGTTTCAAAAGATAACCATCGTGTGTCTGTCTGTTTTTTATTTTATTTTATTATTACCATTGTTTTTGGAGACAGTCTCACTATGTACCACAAACTGAGAGATTCTCTCTTCCCCCCCCAAATACTGGGATTGAAGTCATGTGCCCCTACCCATGATCTCTGTGAGTGCAAGGCCAGCCTAGTATAAACAGCAAGTTCCAGGGCAGCCAGGGTTGCATAGTGAGAATCCTGTCTGAGGAACACAACAACAAAGTAAAAATAAATAACGATGGCAGGGTGGTGGCGCACGCCTTTAGTCCCAGCACTTGGGAGGCAGAGGCAGGCGGATCTCTGTGAGTTCAAGACCAGCCTGGTTTACAAGACCTAGTTCCAGGACAGCCTCCAAAGCCACAGAGAAACCCTGTCTGGAAAAGCCTAACTAACTAAGGAAATAATACTGTGTAAGGCTTTAGGTGACGTACTGCTGTTCTTCCAGCCTCACGTTTTCCCGCTTGCTCCTCAGCTGCCCTGGCTATGCCTTTCTCATGTGCCTTCTCCAAAATTCCAGCTCTCATCCTTCAAGAACCAGCCCAAGCTGGGCAGTGATGGCACATGTCTTTAATCCCAGCACTTGGGAGGCAGATCCACTTGGGTGGATCTCTGTGAGTTCAAGGCCAGCCTGGTCTACAGAGTGAGTTCCAAGACAACACAGAGAAACCAAAAAAAAATAAAATAAACCAGCTGAAAAGTCACCAGGTCTTCCCTGATACTTTGTGTCATAAACTCTGAAATGATGTCTTCTCCCACCATCCTGAGAGCTGGCAGAAGGCCGGGTATACAGTGGGTGCTGTCCTCTGTTCTAAGCAGACGGTTGTCTGGACACATGCATGTCAAAGGTCCATACATCTGTCAGTGTCCGTGTTAAAAGAACTCAGGCTGACATTCAGGGAGTTCCATGCAGTGTGGGTGAAGCCTCACTCTGGACTTGTGCTGCCCGTGTTTCTGTCAGTGCTGTCAGCGCCTGCCCACTTCTCTTCATTCAGAATTTTCATTGCAGAGTGATGGGCCAGCCGTTGGGCATGTAGTAGTGAGCAAGGTGACACTTTTTGTGTCTACAACACAGGCGAGGTTGTCATTAAAGCACTCCCAGATGGATAATTACCAACTGCTAAGTAATAGGGAAAGTGCTGGGATAGTGTACTGAAGGCTCTGCAGGGTTTGCCAGAGCTGTGGAGACCATTTCAGATGGTGTTCCTCAGAACCGTCCCAGTCTTCAGACTGAGAATTAACACTGAATTCTTAGGGCCACCTCTAGCCTTCAGGCTCTAGTTGGCCTTGAGTTTCTGATGCCGCCTCTACCTCCAATGGGATTGCAGGTCTGGACTACTCTGCCTTCTTTAGTTCAATCTGACCCTTTGTGCGCATATTCAGCAGGTGTTCTACACCCGAGTGATGGCCCCAGTCCCTTTTAAACTCTATCCCAAAGCTCAACTTATTTTTCTTTCTATAGACAACCCCTTCCCCACTCAATCTTCTTCACTTGATGCATGTAAATTCTTTTTATTTTAGTTTATTTACAATTTTATTTAGTAATAAGAGTTGAAGAGTTTAATCCAGTTTTCAGATCACATCTCTTAAACAATCTTCATTCTGTTAAAGGGATGATTAAATATTATTTTCTGAGTAGCTGGTGCCTTACTATAAAGAAGGAAGCTGCAAATCCAGATCCAAAGTATCCAGTCATCATAGCCAGTAACCGCCACTTGTTTTCCACTGAAAATGGCAAATTCTTCCCGGGCCCTCCGCATAGTGGCTGCGATAGACCATGGGTCATGAACCTCCGGATACTCTGGCCCAACATGGCACCGCAGGAGACTCTGCCGCACCAACACCAATTCTTTTCTTTACGTGTTTTGCCTGCTTCTTGCTTCAAGAGAAGGGAGTAGAGGATACCTGCCTGTGTGTTGATGTGAAGGCTGACAAGTCACAGATGTAAAGAAGCACTAAGCTGCTTCATCCCAACTTGTCCGGGAGCCTAGGGCCGTGTGGATGTGCCGGAGTTTGATTGCACTTTGCTGGGTGAGATCTGGTCTCTATGGATATCACTTATTGCCCCAGCTATTTCAGGAACTGTCCAGATTTGTCCCCTCCCCTTTGGGCCTATGCGCAACTGAGGTCACAACTGTCAGAGCTGGGAGCTTTATGTCAGCTACTTTTGCTTAGCACTCAGCAGTTATGCAAATGACTTTTGGGGGTTCTTGGAAACTGGCCAGAATCTCCAGGGTCATTAGGCACTCTAACATGGCCCAGTGACCTTGTTCAGATGCTTTCTCCAGCAGTGGAAAGAGCAATCTGGCTGGGGTATTTGTTAGGTACTCAGACCAAGACTGCCTCTGGGCAGAGCCCAGGTGGGTGGTGGGGCTAACCCTGTGTGCAGAGACCTGCCCATTGCTACTGTCTGCCAGTGTGAGAGACCTCTGTTCCTAAACTGTCTTTTTCACTGAGGTAGCCTCTCTGACGTTTGCCCTCACTTGCCTTCTCTGGCCTCTTCCTTGGGTATTCCAGTCCTTCGCCTTACTTTTCCTTCATATGCCTGGACCTGAACTTTCCAAGATGCAGGGGGAGAAGTGAACACAGTGCTGGCAACTTTCAGAGAGCCACCTGTCTGCAGCCTGGCCTCAGCTCTCACAGTTGCTACCTCCCTCAGGGCTACTCATGAAGAAGGGCAGGTTTACTCAGACCTGAAAACATCTTCCAGTGTGCCCTCTGGGTGAGGATCTAGTCAGGGTGGGCTGTCAGAAGGCTCCCTTGCACTGGTCCTGGGAGGGTTAGGGATTTCTGACATTGACCTTTCCCTAGTCCTCAGTCTGGGACTGGGGCAGGGTGGGTCTCTGTTGCCATATTGTTATGCTCAGTGCTCAGGTTAGAGTCAGTAACCCAGTGTGTAAGGCAGGACAGTGTGGGTGCTGGAAAGGTTTGGGTGTGAGGGACTGTGGAGGTTCCTGTGAACAGAGGGCATTGCTGTCCCTTGGGAGTGGTAGGTAGAGGGCTGCCCGCTACACAGGATCCAGAATTGGGCCACCATGGAGACAGATGGCACCCTGTGCATTGTGGGTACTGAAGAACGGTTCCACCACAGGGAAATGTCTGGTGTGTGGCTGCTGGGAGTGAGAGGGGCCTAACTGATACCAAAATCTGTCAGAGGGTGAGCCACAGGTTGTTCTGGAGAGCTATTCTAGCCCTTTATTTTCTTCATTTCAAGAAATTGGCTTGTTGAGCCAGGCATTGGTGGTGCACGCCTTTAATCTCAGCACTCAGGAGGCAAAGGCAGGCCTGAGTTCCAGGACAAACAGGGCTGTTACACAGAGAAACTCTGTCTCAAAAAAAAAAAAAAAAAAAAAAAAAAAGACTTGGATTTCTACTCTCTGTAGCCCAGGCTAGTCTTGAATTCACTATCTTGATTCAGCCTTCTGAGTAGCTGGGATCATCAGGACTCCTTACAGGGTCACTATAAGGTTTCTGTCAAATAGACATGTCTTGTCCCCATACCATTGGGAGAAACTCTAATGTTAAACATACCCGTCTCATGTTTTTTCCTGGAGACCTCAGAACCTTAGCCAGGCCTAAATTAAAAAGCGGGGGTGGGAGTGGGGGAGGGTGTCTGAGAACTCTGCCCTTTGGGGAGCTGCTGCAGAAGAGGGAAGGAGACTTCACTCTGAGGAGTGCTCTAAATCTGCCCTACCTGACTCCTTCCTTTTCACCGTGTCTGGCCCAGGCTATGCTCTGACTTTTAGGTGCTAGTGCCTGGGCCTTTTTCCCAGGTTCTAGAGCCTCACAGCTGCATCAGCAGTGGGCTGGGGTCCCCAGCTCACACATAGTGCTCCACTTTCCTCCTGGTTGTGAGTTGTTCACAGGCTTTTCACGGAGGAGGGTGGGAACACTCCCCTTCCCCCTCAGTTTAGAGAGCTGGGTGTTATGCCTTCTTCCTCACCCACCACCTGAGTGTATTCCAGCTGGCTCACCGGAAGTGGCTGCTGGGGTGTCTAGCCAGTGATGGCGACAGATACAGGGAACTGTCTTCAGGTTGGCTGTCCTGTATTTTACTTCCCTCCAATGAATCTGTCTTCCTCTGCTCCAAACCCTAGGGAAGGATCGGATCATATTTGTGACCAAAGAAGACCATGAAACTCCTAGCAGTGCAGAACTGGTGGCTGATGACCCCAATGATCCCTATGAGGAGCACGGTAAGAGGGGAAGGACCACAGACACACCCCAGGGGAGGCTTGGTAGTGAGCACTGCTTTCCCACTTTGTCTCCTTTGGCGGTGGACGGATGTCTGGCTCTGTGATCCCTGTGTTTTCCTCCCAGGAGCTGGGACTGTGCCAAGCTAGTAGGCAGCAATTTCTTCTTACTAAAACATTCTGTCTCCGTCCTACGTGTTTGTACTGACGTGATTAAGAGTGATTGAAGTTAAAACTGACAGGGATCCCTGCTCTGTCAGATTACTGAAGTGAGCCCTGCCATGTGTACCAGGTAATTTGTAGGCAAGAGAGCAGTGGCCAGGCAGCTGGTCCTTATCCCCTGTTAAATCAGGAAGGGACTTAGCAGAGCTACTCAGAACTGTGACACACTCCTGGGCTCATCCCCGAATTAGAGTAGTATCCCTTTGGACACAGGATGTCACTCTATAGGCTTTGGGCTAGGTATTCCAGTCTGTGTGGTAGGTGTGTGCAGCATTCCCAGGCCATATGTGTCAACAAGACTCAATTCAGCACTATAACAAGTGCTTCAGGTGAGAATTACTGGTCAGTGAGATTGACTTTACAGCAGGCAATCCTGGAGGACAGGCTATGGTTAGAACTTGCAGACCTGATCTCAAGCAGATGCATGTTCCGAGTGGGACCTTTACCTGTTAGCCTTCTGCCAAGTAAGGGTGAATACCTGGCCCCGTGTTGGGAACATTGGCAAGTCAGATGTCACAGTATTAGTGTCCTGAGAGTGGCAGCTGTAGCCTACCTGAGTTAGCCTTTCTTAATGAAGAGGTATGAACTCACATAAGTTCTGGTCCTTTGTTTACATTAGCTGCACATATGTCACAGAGCTCTGGAGGTGTGAGCAGCCAGGCTGTGTCTGCTTGTTTTTAAATGTACTTCTGCACTATAACCACTAAAGCTGCCATCTTGTGGATGTGGGTTGTGTGTCCCAATTTACATTGCATCCTGTCCTCTGCTAGACTCATGAAAACAAGGACTTCTGTAGACCTGAGTTGTGGTGGGTTTTTTTGTTGTTGTTTGTTTTTAATTATTTATTTTATGTGTATGGATGTTTTGTTCAAACATGCATCCATTGCCTGCCAATGTCAGAAAAGGGTGTTAGATCCCCTGGGACCTGAGTTACAGATGGCTGTGAGCTGCCATATGGGTGCTGGAAATGGAACCTGGGTTCTCTACAAGAGCACCCGAGAGTTAAAGGCCAGCCAGTCTGCTTTACAAAGCAGGTTTCAGTACAGCTGTCCCAAAACAGTGGCTCAGGCTGGAGTCACAGGTATGTGCCACCACTGATAGCATCTAGACTCTATTTTCAATGTCAGTCTATTTCTTTTGAAAGCTATTCCTTGGGTTAGCACATTGGAACCTGCAGTGCCAGCATTATGTTCAGCATTGAGAGTCCCTTGGAGAGGAGTTGGGTTTGGAGCTCTGGGGCTCTGATGGGTCCTACTACTGTCCTGACTTGACTCTGAAGCCCAGAAACCTGCAGATAGTATCAGAAGGACCACTTCAGGTACCACACAGCTTCATGTACAGGAACTTACTCTGCAGCTGTGGTGTTGCTGAGGAACTGCCTGCTGAGGAGCACCAGCGACATTTCCTGTTGTCCCCAAACAGTTGGGGCAGGTTTGCTTGCTGATCAGTGAAGCTTTCAGAGCTGGCATTCAGAGGCGGGATTCCGCCTAGGACTTTGGACACTAGTTCTGCAGCCACGCCTGGGCATGCCTCTGGAGTAGAGGGTCATGTGGCACTCAGTTTGTATCGGCCTTTTGCCTGCTTGCCTTCTTTTCTTTTTTCCCTTGATTTTTGCAGTGCCAAGAATACTCAACACCAGAGGCAAGTACTCTACTGTCTACATTCTCTGCATCAGTAGGCTCACAGGAGAACTGTCTTCTGTGTCCTTCACAAAGCTGAGAGTAGAATTGTCTGTCATCCTGAACCATTTTGGAAAACTAGAAAATTCTATTTAGATGTGAACAAAATTCATAGAAAAGAGCCACATGCAAAAGGAAGACATCAATGTAGCATTTACTAAAAATCCATCAATAGCCTGACTTTCCAGCTCATTGATCATAAATCACTTAAATTAAAAGTTTGATTTATTTTTTACAGGTTGGGGATTGAACCTGGGGTCTTCTGGATGGCAAACCCTGCTCTGCCTCTGTGCTGTATACCCCACCTTAATATTTGATTTGTATAGGAAGAATGTAGCCCCACTAGTCTAAAAGCACTTGCTTTGCATTGTACAACAGGTTTTAAGATCTTTTCACATCTGTGTGCTTGCACCATTCTCTAGGCTGGCTGAGCAGAAGCATGCTGAGGGGCTGTGGGAGGAAGTAGGGCCTGGAGGATCAGTGCTTGCTTTGGCTTAAGAGATTCCTGGTATTTTAAATCTCAATGTTCTGATTCTAGTTCTGAGAGGTGGCTTAGACAGTAGACCAGAACACACATAAAGAGGTTACGGGAGATGCCTTCCAGGCAATAAGCACCAAACAAACATGCTTTGCATGTTCAAGATCACAGGGAACATCTCTCACCTTTCCCTTGTCCATCTTCCTCTTCTAGGATTGATACTGCCCAATGGAGATATTAA